AGTGTGTCTTCCTACCTCAAGATCTGGACTAGAAGTGGATTCACCCACTTTAAACCAAGCAAAATTAATCTCTCACAGGTGTACTCTCTATTTCTGGACCATAGTTCATTTCAGATATAGTCAAGCTGACAGCCATGAATGGCCATCACAGCCACTGAGGCCAGGCATGCAGCAAAGCAATCCTTGCATAGAGGTCCAGACAGGCCATTGCATGAAACTGTGGAGGTGAAGCTTAGATTGCCTTGGAGAGCCTAGATGCTGGAGATGCCAGAGCCATGGGACACCCACCAAGGGCAGCTGCAGACAGGGAATGGAACCAGTTTAAATGAGAGAAGCGTGTTGCAGTCAGCAAAGTTGCAAGGGTAGAACCATCTAATCATACTGGACATGGAGCTATAGGATTTGGATTTGCCCTGATGAATTTTGGTCTTGCTTTGGTTCAGCATTTAGTTAATATACTGTAATTCATCCCTTTTGGAATGGCAATGCGTACTTGAAAGCACTGTATGCTGGAAGTATATGATCTACTTTTTGATTTTACAGGAGGTTAAAATTAAGAGATTGCCTTGAATCTCAGAAGCAGCTTTGGATTTTTAAACTGTGGTATGATTGTGAAAGACTCTGAGAACTTTTGAAGTTAGACTAAATGCATTTTGCAGATATGGCCATGAGCCTTGGGGGCCAGGGAGTAGAATGTGGTGATTTGAATGAGAATGGCTCTGGCTCCCATGGGATCATATCTTTGAATACTTGTAGCAAACTTTCCTGTAAGACTGTATTTGGACCATTGGCCCACAGATAATGATTCAGAGGCATACTATTAATTATGAAAGTTTGGCCTTAGCTTAGGCTTTTTTCCAACTAGCTCTTATAACTTAATTAACCCATTTTTTAAAATCTACTTTTTGTCATGTGACTTGGTTACCTCCTCTTTGTAGGGCACATCCAACTTGCTCTGAGTCTGCTAATGAAATCTGCCTTTCTTCTTCCCAGAGTTCTCTCTCTGCCCAGGAGTCCTACCTATACCTTTTGCCTAGCTATTGACTGTACCATTTTTATTACACCAATAATAGCAATATGTCTTCATACAGTGTACAAATATTCCACAACAAATGCTTGGTCCCCAGTTGGTGCAACTGTTTGAGAAGGATTAGGAGGTGTGGCCTTATTGGAGAAGGTGACTCACTGGGGGTAGGCTTTGAGGTTCCAAAAGTTCACCTCATTCTCAGTTAGCTCTCACTCTCTCTTTCTCTCTCTCTGCCTCCTACTTATGGATATGGATTTAAGTTCACCCTCTGAAACTGTAAACCCCTAATAAACTCTATCTTCTAGAAGTTATCTTGGTCATGGTCCTTCATCAGAACAGTAGAAAAGTAATTAAAACTTTTAATTTTTAATTAAAAATGGTTTGCACCTACAATTCTATCATTTAAGTTAAGGAAAAAAGGATCACAAAAACCACCCCTCATAAAAAAGCACAATAAATTTAGTACTTTTGGCCTGGGGATGTGGCTCAGTATAAAGCATATGCCTAGTATGTGAGAGGCCTGTCTTGATCAGTGTTCTGTTACTATGAAGAGACACCATGATCACAACAACTCAAATGAAGAAAAACATTTAATTGGGGCAGGCTTATACTTTTAGAGGTTTAGTTCATTATCCAGAAGGCAAGGGAACATGGTGGCATGCAGTCAGACAGGTAGCTGAGAGTTCTACATCAGGATCTGAAGGAAACGGGAAGAGAGAGCCACTGGGCCTGGCTTGAACCCTTGAAACCTCAAAGCTCACCCTCGGTGACACATGTCCTCCAACAAAGCCACACCTCCTAATCCTGTCAAGTAGCATCACTTCCTGGTGACTAAGCATTCAAATACATAAGCCTATGGGGCCATTCTTATGGAAAATACCACAAGGCCTTAAATTTGCTTTTTTTAATTGAACAATTACAGAAATATGTACCGAGAGCATAAAATTTACCATCTCAACTTTCACTTTTGCAGTGCTGGGAATGGAACTCGAGGCTTTGTTCAGGCTCCACAGGCACTGTACTGCTGAACTACCTCTTTCCACATTTTTATGTGTGTAGTAGTGTGGAATTATATACATTTCCACCACTGTGGAGTCATCACCCGGTATCATCTCAGAATGCCCTCATCTTCTTCAGATGGACTGGTCAACACTAACTCTATAGCCCACTCATGACATAAACCACTTAAAAATCAACTTTTATTTCATGTATTACTTTTTATAAATTTAGTATTTTGAGCCTGAGGATGTAATGCAGTCCAGTAATAAAACATATGCCTAGCATGTGAGAGACCTTAGATATATGCTATGTACATTTTTGTTAATGGAAAAGTTATTTATTTTTATTTTTGATCCAGTTGTAGAAAGTAGTAATCCACTGAAAGAATGTCTTTGAAGTTCACTGACTCACACTCCCACACAGTGGTCTTAAAGGACCAACATTCATACTTCCTGGACTGGAGGAGTCAAGGTTTGCTCCAAAGCCTCTGGTAGAGACATTAGAGTTCTGTAGAGCTGAGACTAAATTGGCAAGCCTCAGTTGTATGGACCATGGATGGCCTTGTTAGTAGCTTTCATTGTTGGGTTGATGAAAACTTTTGCAAATATGTGGACTTCTATTAAGTGAGTTACTCCTTGCAAAGTACATGCTTAACTACTGCAGCCTCCTCTTCTTTTCAACTAACCAGCCTTTGCTGTCAACATGAATCATATCAGAAAATGTGAAGATGGGTTTACGCCAAGCTATTCTTTTCTCCCAAATATAGTGTTGTGATTCTTTTAATGTTATATATGAATAAAATAAATTTGTTTGTCTGTATCTGGACTTTCCAAAATGTTTTAGGACTTTCTTTTATGCAATAAGCAATGCTCTAGCATGCTTTTAGTGAAATATACATATTAGAATCTGCTTGTACATTCCCATCTTTCCCGTTTTATGTCTGATTAACAGATAGCAAGAATCTATACACACAAAAAGTCTCATGGGCATGATTGTTTTAACATGAGCAAAACAAGATCTACAATAATAGGCATGACCAAGTGGATGAGGAAGCCCACCAAGCTCAACCCTACACAGAAAACTACAGACAATTAAAGAATGCAGAGAGCTAGAAAGGGTTTCCCCAAGGAGGTACACACCAGTTGGTGATCTAGTTGGTGAAATGGCCAGCACAAAAACATACATGCAAGCAACATTATATAGACTGAGCCAGTTATAGTTAACAATATGTATGTACATGCATATACACATACACAAATACATGCAATAACAATTAGTGGAAAGGGGGCCTTGAACTAGAAAGAGAACAAGGAAGGGTATATGGCACAGTTTGGAGAAACTAAAGGGAAGTGAGAAATGCTGTAATTTTATTATTACCTTAAAAAGAAGAAAAGAAGCAATTTGGTAGTAACTGTCAGTTCTAGGCATTCCGAGGTTATGGTTTAGCCGAGAACTCTTTATGCAGCAGACTGGTTTGTGGTTTCACCTTGCACTCCACCTTGGCAATTGTGTGCAGATTTCATTTTTGACACTTACTACTTATCAACATGCCCTTATGCTTGAGCTTTTTTGATGCCACAAAATTATTTTGACTCTACAAAATAATTAGTGTAAAGTAAAATCAACAGAGAATGGCTTTACTTCATATATTATAGCTTTTTAAAAAATAATCAAAACAGCAGCACTGCATGTGTAGGTCAGGGGAAGAAGATATGAGCATGGTTTGCTAGGTGCAAATACTAGCAACTGCCTCCAGCACAAAAGAGAATATTTTAAAATAGTCATTGTACCACACATTTGCCTTGGGAGACTGAGAGAAGAGCATTGCTGAAAATTCAATGCCAGTCTGATATACACAGCAAGACACTCTGCAAAAAGAGAAGGAGGAGTGGGGACAATGGAGGAAAGAGGAGGAGGAAGAGGAACAAAAAAAGAAAAATAGAGGGAGAGAAAGAACCACCTAACCGTGCGTGACTGTTAAATCATTTGAATAAATGTTACTACTGATTAAAAGTTTTGAACTTAGTAACTGTGAGAGGCGCAGGTTATATTGGTTAACTGTCACCAAAACACTAAAATCTCAGCAGACCATAGTTCAAATTATTGACTTAACTCAGGAATTTGCAGGTCTAGCCACTGGTACAAGCTGTACGCAGTGTGCCATGTGCCTCTTGTCTCATCCCTGCAACTAGACATGCACCTAGCAGGTAAAATAGAGCATGAACTCAATTATAAACATGACTGTCATAGCTTTGGACATGTCCCACTATGGTCTACAGTAGTTTACTAAAGAAATTTTTTCATTGTGTTTAAGAAGGTTTCCTCTTTCCTCGCAGCTATAATCTCACTGGCTGGTCCACACACCTGAATCTTTGTACACAATTCTAACGAATTTTGTTTTGTTTCAATTTTTTGAGACAAGCTTTCTCTTTGTTGACAGCCTTTACTGTCCTTGAACTTTCTTTGTAGACCAGGCTGGTCTCAAACTCTCTGAGATTCACCTGCCTCTGCCTCCTGAGTGCTGGGATTAAAGGCATGTGCCACCATGCCTGGCCATCTGTGATGAATTAACTAAGACCTTTCTTAGTGTGTTGATGCCACCTCTGCTACCAACTATATCTATGCAGGCAATGACTCTTCTAAAATATCACTATCTGCAATGACAGGGTTAGAAACTAGGCCTCAAAGAGAAGGAACAAAATGAAGAACAGCAGAGTGGTCTGAATTAGCAAAACTGTGGGTCTTGACCACAAGCAGGGAGTCACACTGGCAGACACAGCCCATCCCACAAAGGCTGCAAAGAAAAAGTACATGACAAAAGACACTGAAAACCTTGCAGGGTTAGCCTCCAACGGTCACTGCACTCATCCATTCATGACTGACACTTGAAAAGTGATGCCATTAAAAGAATTTGATGACACAATAAAGGCCTCAGAAGTCTGAAGCCTCCAGTAGTGTGTCAAGGACTCAGAAGTGAGTGTGAAGTCAACCACGAGCCTGGGAGGACACGTGAGCGGAGCTGTGTTCTCGTTGGCCCAGTTAGCACAGCTGGCTGCACCTTCTGCCACATTGCTGAACACCAATTAACTTGAAGGCAACACTGCAGGTTAGGAGAAGCTCTATTCATATTTGTTGTATACTCTGTGTAACCTAATAGAATTAAATATTCATATCAAAATTTATGATTCACTATTTTAGTTGTAGAGTTCTGTGGTTCACAGACTTGTGGAAAGGACTCCACTGTCCATCTTCTCCAACTGAAATGCTGTCCTCATTGAATGCTATCTCTCCCTGGCCCCTAGCCACTACCACTGTGCTACCTGCATTTGGAGTTGACTGCCCCAGGGACCCCCTTAGTGCAGACACAGGGCATTTAATCTTCTGTGATAATATTATGGTTTGGATATGATCTGTCTGGGCAAAAAGCTCATGTGTCTCTTGGTCCCTAGCCAATATTGCTTTTGTGGAAGGTTCTGGACACTTGAGAGTTGGGTCATAGCTGAAGGAAGTAGATACCAGTGACAGTGTCTTTGAAGGTTTTATTTCATCCCTGGTACCCCTCTCTCTATTTCCTGTCATCATGAGCTGAGTAGCCTCTCATCACAGTGATTTCCTGCCTACTCACACATTTGACTCAACACAGCCAAGGACTAGAGACTTCTGAAATCGAGCCAAACCAAATAATTCATCCCTTAAATTTGTTCTCTCAGGTATTTAGACACACAGAGACTTTGAACTGTGACATTTCAACTTAATGTTTATTTTTCAAAATGACCATGGTGGGCAAGGTACAAGTTCCCATCTTGGTGATCAGATCAGCCTCATGCCTGGTTTCTCTACCCCTGTATCCTGTCTCCTAGATTCTCTGCCCTAAACCCAGGATATCTGTGCAACTTGGACATCTTTATCACTTGGGATAGGCCTCTTTCTGGAAAGGGTTTGTTAAATACATTAAAACCTCCCTGGATTTCACTATTTTTGTGATATCGTTTGTGACACTATGTTCTAAGCAGTCCTCCTGGTTCTTCTGGCCTCAAGTGTCATACATGGCCCTTCCATTACTGCACTGTGATCTGCCTGAATTTTCTCACTGTTCTTTCCCATCTGACTGGATCAAAGTCCCTTAGAACATTTGATTCCTTTGAAGTTTGGGGCAAGAAGAGCAGGCCTGGAATGTACAGCTAGTTTGTTGAATCTGTACTGATGTCAGTTGAGCAAAATGTTACCTTTCTGATGAGTAAAAGGAAAACTGGCTCAAGCCCACTCTGGACTATATAGAACATTTGAAACAATCATAGTTGTCTTAGTTAGGGCTACTATTGTTGCAATAAAACACCATGACCAAAAAGCAAGTTGGGAAGGAAAGGGTTTATTTGGCTTACACTTCAGCATCTGAAGGAAGTCAGGACACAAACTCAAGCAGGGCAAGAACCTGGATGCAGGAACTGATGCAGAGGCCACAGAGGGGTGCTTCTTACTGGCATGCTTTCCACGGCTTGCTCAGCCCACCTTCTTATAGGAACCAGGATCTGCAGCCTAGGCATAGTCCCACCCACAATGGGCTTGGCCCTCCCCCATTGTTCACTAATTTAAAAAAAAAATGCCTTACGGCTGGCTCTTATAGAGGCATTTTCTCATTTGAGGTTTCCTCCTCTCTGATGACTCTAGCTTGTGACAAGTTAACATAAAACCAGCCAATACAATGGTCTACACAATTAGGTCATATGTCTAACAGACAAGCAACTGCAAAGATAATTTCCTGAACCACTTAAGAAAATCTAGACCCAGCCTGGGTACCTTTCAAGACCCCATCTCAAAATGAAAATTTAAAAAGGGTTGGGGATATGATTCATTGGTAAAGGGCATGCCCCATTCATGGTCTTTCTTCCTTCCTTCCTTTCTTCCTTTCTTTCTTTTTTTCCTTTCTTTCTTTCTTTCTTTCTTTCTTTCTTTTCTTCTTCTCCTTCTTCTTATTCTGTTTTGCTTTTTGAGGCAAGGTTTCTCTGGGTAACAGTCCTGGCTGTCCTAGAACTCACTTTGCAGGGTTTCTCTGTATAACAGTCCTGGCTATCCTGGAACTCACTTTGTAGACCAGGCTGGCCTTGAACTCACAGAGATATGCCTGCCTCTACCTCCTGAGTACTGGGATTAAAGGCGTTTGCCACCATTTCTCGGCCCATTCATGTTATTTCTAATAAAATCTTCAGACCCCTCTCAGATTGAATTGGAGGTCTTCTCATGGTCAGCCTTCATTCATCTGAACCTTCACCCCCAATTCTCCTGTCTCCAAACTGTGCATTTTGATCTTGCTATTCAGCTCAGGTCTCAGACACATGGTCGCATCCCCTCTCGTCATTTCAAAAACTTGGGCTGTTTCTTTTGGTTGAGTTAGAGTTCGTTCCTTAAAGAACTTCTTTCACCTTCATTGCCCCCAACAACCATGTGACTTCATCTTTCAAAAATATTTTAAAATTTTTAAATTAAAAAAAAGAGGGCTGGGAAGATGGCTCAGTGGTTAAGAACACTTGGCTGCTTTTCCAAAGGATTCCAGTTCAATTCCTATCACCCACATGGCAGCTTACAACTGTCTGGAACTCTAGTTCCAGGGGATCCGATATCCTCACACAGACATACATACAGGCAAAACATCAATGCAGATAAAATAAATCAATCTTTAAAAAAGAAAGCAACAACAAACAGAGCCAAAAAAAAAAAAAACCTCAAGCAGGTCAGGTATGGTGCTGCCTGCTTACAGTCCTAGTACTCAGTAGTCTGATGCATGCAAACGGCCTTGAAATGTGAAACCAAACTGGGCCACATGATAAGTTTGAGAGAATGCTAGTCAGTCCACCATGCTAGTCAGACTCTGTCCCCCCAAAACAAAAGCACCAAGCAAACAACAAACATGTGATAGAATTTGAACTTAAAAGTGGGGGGGGGGGGTTTCACCAGTAATCCCAGCATTCAGATACATTTTATCTTGTATCTTCTCAACAGGTTTCATGATAGACAAAACAAAATCAGTAAATAATAACAATCATACTATAGTATGTACTTACTAGTCTCTCTCCATTTTAGATTATTATCTTGGTTCCCAGTGGTCCTCTATTTGACATGTGATAAGTGAAGAAGTTTGCTTCAGGTAATGTAAAACAGAGAATTGTATATATTTTCCAGAATTGCATAATAATCTATTATGTTTAAAATTACCAATTTACTTGTTATTCATTTGTTTATTCATTTATTGGTAGGTATATTAGTTTTGTAGAGACAGGATCTCATTATGTAGTCTTGCTGCCCATGAACATCACTACTATTACAAATAGTGCTTTGATGAGCATCATGATGGGCAAATATTTGTGGTCAAAAGTCATTGTGTGTGTAGACACACAGAAGTGGAACTGTTAATGCCAAGTGTAATGGTGCACACCTTTAATCCCAGCACTCAGGAGGCAGAGGCAGGCAGATCTCTGTGAATTCAAGGCCAGCTTGGCATACAAAGTGAATTCTGGCACAGCCAGAGCCACAGACAAAGCCTGTCTTGAAAAAACAAAAAAAAAATGGAACTTTTAGAGGGTGCATGTACTGTCAAGCTGTCAGTAAATGCAGCCAAACTCATAATAGCACGTCCTCACTTTTCAAACCTAACTAATTCTTCCCTCTTGGTAGTGGTCTCCCAGGGAACACCGTTCTAGGCCTAGGGAAGACCTAAGCCCACTCTTATGCTTTATTCTATTTGTTTACAGTTATCCTGTGCTTGCTGTCACCATGTTGTTGCTCAGCAGAAGTGCCAACTGTCAAGTTGGGGGATTTGCTTTGACCTCCATAGCATGGCTCCTTTGCAGCATCTCCACAGGCCTCCCTCAGTGGCGAGTCTGGTACTTTAATGAAACCATGTTCTCCGAGCCTACCACAGCCTTCATAGGGATGTGGAAAGTCTGTTTTTACCACCAAAACATCAAGCCTGGCAATATCAGAGGGTGTCATGACTATACCTACAATGACAACTTTATTCCTTTGGATATTCGTATCATTCAACATTTGTTACTGGGCTCCAACATTTTCGGGTTAATTGGAACAGTTGCCAGCATTTTTGCTCTTCGAAATACGTACATAGGGAAAGTGCAGAAGAATATCACCTACAATCCATTCGTCATTTCAGCCATTCTCAACATCATTACCAGTACCTTTGTTCTCCTTGCTGTCTTATGCAATTATTTCTCTGTCATTCACAAAACAGCAATTACATTTCCACCATCTTTCCGTATTCCTTTATATCCATCTTATCAGAGAATTGGAATTGCTAATGTAGTAGCAAGTCTAGCTGCCCTCATGTTTTTAGGTAGCAGCATTATTTTTCTGTCATACACTTCTCTTGTGGAAAACCAAGTGTATCCCGAAGTTTGAAAATAAATTTACAGTTTACATCACCCTTCAATTCCCAGGGATTATAGGAAGAATTCTTTGTTTGTTAGTTGTTTATTTTTTGTTTTTACATCCCAATCATGGTTTCCCCTCCCTCCTCTCCTCCCAGTTCCTCCCTTCATCTCCCCTTTTTCCCCACCACCCACCTGTCTCTCCTCCCAGTCCCTGCCATACAACTTCCTGTCTCCCCACCCCCATCCACTCCCCTTCCTTCATTTCTCTATGGAAAAAGGGTAGGACAGCAACCAGCCATGGAATGTCAAGTTATAGCAAATATTCTTAAGATATTAACATAAATTTTCCAAGGACTCAAAACCACACCAGAATAGCCTGTGACAGAAAACGGTCAAGTTGGCCTTCTATTTTTGTCTTGTTTCATCATTTCATTGGTTGGATTATGGGCTTTTGCTAAATAAAATCTTGTTAACGTGCTGATGTTGTGAGATCCAAGTTTTGACTGTTGTTGGCAAAGGTAAATAATAAGCAAACACACTATACATGGGATTGAATGTTGGAGTTTACTAATCTCTCACATCACCCTCTGAATCCAAATGAAAAACAAAAACAGGTCTGTGCCCCCTGTCATGATAACACTATCTTTGTGTTTTTTTCCAAATCTTGTCTATATGTTACAGGACTCAGCAACTCTGAAGGTTTATGGATTTCCTCCTTTCTTCAGCCCATTTAAGCATTTTCTTTTTTTTTTATCCCCATATATTGGTGTAGGAGGTGCTTCTTTCTATGTGTTGCTTGTATTGGTTAATGAATGAAGAAACTGACTTGGCCTGATCAGGACACAACTTAGGTAGGCAGGGAAAACACAACCAAATGCTGAGAGGAAGAAGGGTGGAGAGAGAGATGCCATGGATCCTCCACCCAAGACAGATGCCAGTTAGAATCTTTCCCGGTAAGCCACTACCACGTGGCGATACACAGATTAATAGAAATGGGTTAAATCAAGATGTGAGAGTTAGCCAATAAGAGGCTAGAACTAATGAGCCAAGCAGTGATTTAATTAATACAATTTCTATGTGGATATTTCAGGGCTAAAATAGCTGGGCGGCCGGAACAAACAAGCAGACCCTCACCCTGCAACAATTGGCACTCCAACATGTTCAACTAAATCCACGTTAAAACCTGAGAGTGCTGCTGGAGCTCCTTCTGCTCCTTCAGCCAATAGCCGTTGAGATATCAGCCCACTGGGGCATAGTCTCTTTCTCTTTAAAAAACAGCTGCAGCTGTTGGGATAACACCTGATCTAATAATTCATTTAAGCAAAATCTTAGATGGTGACAAAGATTTGAATAGTCCCAGAGAATTAACAGCTGAAGCAGAAAAGGAACTGAAAATGGTTGAGGAAAAATTACAGGAGGCACATGTGGATAGGGTGAATCCAAATTTTAGTTGTATTCTAGTCATATTGCCTTCCAGAATTTCTCCTACGGGAATTTTAATGCAGAAGGAAGATGTTATTTTAGAATGGTTCTTTTTACCACAAAAACCTAGTAAAAAATTAAAAACTTATGTAGAAAAGGTCTCTGAATTAATTATAAAAAGTAATCTGAGACTTCGCCAACTAGCAGATATAGACCCAGCAGAAATTGTAGTGCCTTTCACTACTGATGAAATAAAAAAAGTTATGGGAAGACAATGAACCCTGGCAAATGGCTTGTGCTAATTTTCTGGAGGAAATTAATAGCAACTATCCTAAAAGTGGTACACTTAACCTTATAAAGAGAACTTCTTGGATTCTTCCTCAAATTGTACGTGATGTTCTAATAAAACTGGAGCCCGTACATTTTATACTAATGCTAATGAATCAGAGAAGGCAGGTTACAAATCAGATGAGTTGAGTAAGGTGGAACAAAGCCCTTATAATTCTGTCCAGAAGGCAGAATTATATGCTATTCTTATGGTGCTAAGGGATTTTAAAGAACCTCTTAATATAGTTACGGATTCACAATACGAAGAAAGCGTTATCTTGCATATTGAAACCGCTGAATTTATACCAAATGATACAGAATTGACTTCATTTGTTTATCCAGGTACAAGACATAATCAGGAATAGGCTTTGTCTTATGTACATAACACACATTCGATCCCATACGGGTCTGCCAGGTCCTCTAGCACAAGAGAATGCAGAAATTGATCAATTATTGATTGGAAGCATGTTACAGGCCTCAGAATTTCTTAAACCTTGCGTCAATAGCAAAGGTTTAAAGAAAAAGTTTTCCATTACATGGCAACAAGCTAAGGAGACTATAAAGAGATGCCCCACTTGGTCTTTATATAACCAAATACCGCTACCTGCAGGAACTAACCCAAAGGGTACTCAAAGGAATGAAATCTGGCAGATGGATGTGTTCCACATTGCAGAATTTGGAAAATTAAAATATGTACATCATACCATTGACACTTATTCAGGTTTTCAGTGGGCAACTGCTATAAGCTCAGAAAAAGCTGATTCGGTAGTCACATATTTATTGGAAGTTATGGCCATCATGGGTATACCAGCACAAATAAAGACAGATAATGGTCCCGCTTATGTCTCTAGGAAAATAAAATGGTTTTTTGCTTATTATAATATTAAGCATGTTACAGGTATACCTCAAAAGTCTAATGTGAGCTCCCTCTGTTTTTTTGTTTTGTTTTGTTTTGTTTTGTTTAATGTGGGCACTTAGTGCTATGAACTTTCCTCTTAGCACTGCTTTCATAGTGTCCCATAGGTTTGGGTATGTTGTTTCTTTATTTTTGTTGAATTCAAGGAAGACTTTAATTTCTTTCTTTATTTCTTCCCTGACCCAGGTGTTGTTCAGTAGTTGACTGTTCAGTTACCATGAGTTTGTAGGCTTTCTGGGGGCTAGAATTGTTGTTGAAGTCTAACTTTATTCCATGGTGATACAATAAGACACAGGTGGTTACTAAAGTTTTTTTGTATCTATGGAAGTTTGTTTTGTTACCGAGTATGTGATCAATTTTCGAGAAGGTTCCATGAGATGCTGAGAAGAAGGTATATTCTTTCCTATTTGGGTGGAATGTTCTATAGATGTCTGTTAAGTCCATTTGATTCATTACCTCCATTAGTTCTCTTATTTCTGTTAGGTTTCTGTCTGGTTGACCTGTTCATTGGTGAGAGAGGAGTGTTGAAGTCTCCTACTATTAGTGTGTGGGGTTTGATGTGTGCTTTCAGTTCAAGTAAAATTTCTTTTACATATGTGGGTGTTTTTATATTAGGGGCATAAATATTCAGGATTGAGACTTCGTCCTGATGAATTGTTCCTGTTATGAGTATAAAATGTCCATCTCAGTGTCATTGTCAATGGCTTTTCAGAAAGGCTCCGGGCCAGCCACATTCCGAGAATCCGGCCACATTCAGAAAATCTGGTTGGATCACGTGCTCGTTCAGTCCCAGTCCAACTGGCCTTGGTGAACTCTCATTAGATCAGTCCCCTTGTATCAGTGGGTGATGGCACCCCTCGCGGGCTGATTTCATTTTTCATTTTCTTCCTCCTTCTGCTCCTCCTTTGGACCTTGGGGGGCTCTTTGGGATCCAGTATGTTTGGATACTCACCTTCCTGGACCTGGAGGGAGGGGGGAGGAACTTGAACTTCCCACAGGGCAGGAAACCCTGACTGTTCTTTGGGATGAAGAGGAAGGAGGAGAGGGAGTGGGGGGAGTGGGAGGGTGTTGGGAGGAGGGGCAGAAATGGAAACTTTTATAATTTAATAAACTTTGAATAAAAAAAAGAAAAAAAGTGTCCATCTCCATCTCTTCTGATTGATTTTAATTTGAAGTCAATTTTCTTAGATATTAGTATAGCCATATCCGCTTGTTTCTTAGGTCCGTTTGATTGAAAAACCTTTTTCCAACCCTTTACTCTGAGTAAATGTCTGTCTTTGTGGTGGAGGTGTGTTTCTTGCAAGCAGCAGAATGTTGGATCCTGCTTTCACATCCATTCTCTTAACCTGTGCCTTTTTATAGGTAAATTGAGACCATTGATATTAAGTGATATTAATGACCAGTGGTTGTTAACTCCGGTTATTTTTCTTTTTTTGGTGGTAGAGTTTGTGTGTTTCCCTTCTTTGGGTTGTGCTTGTGGAGGGTTGTTAGATGTCTAAGTTATTGTGGGTGTTGTTGGGTTCTTTGGGTTGTGATTTTCCTTCAAAACAACTTTGAGATACCATCTTACACCTGTCAGAATGGCTAAAATCAAAAACACCAATGATAGCCTATGCTGGAGAGGATGTGGAGTAAGGGGAACACTCATCCATTGATGGTGGGAATGTAAACTTGTGCAACCACTTTGGAAATCAGTGTGGCGGTTTATCAGTAAATTGAGAATCAATCTACCTCAGGATCCAGCAATACCCCTCTTGGAAATATACCCAAGAGATGACCAATGATACTACAAAAGCATTTGTTCAACTATGTTCATAACAGCATTATTTGTAATTGCCAGATCCTGGAAACAACCTAGATGCCCTCAATGGAAGAATGTATAAAGAAAGTGTGGAATATATACACATTAGAGTACTACTCAGTGGTAAAAAATAATGACATTTTGAATTTTGCATGCAAATGGATGGAAATTAGAAAACACTATTCTGAGTGAGATAACCCAGACCAAAAAAGATGAATATGGCATGTACTCACTCATTAGTGGACTCTAGCCATAAACAAAGGACATTAAGCCTATAATTCACAAGCTTAGAGAAACCAAATAACAAGCGGAACCCAAAGAAAAACATATATAGATCCTCTTAGAAACTGGAAGCAAACAAGATTGCCGGGCAAAAGTTGGGAGCATGGGGGTGGGGATAGGGGTAGGGGTGGGAGACAGGGAAAGGGGGAGAGAGAAGGGAGAAAGGAAAGACTGGAGAGAGCTTGGGGGAGTGGTAGGGTAGAGATGGAAGAAGGGCGGATATAAGAGCAGGGAAGAAGATATCTACATTAAGGGAACCATTTTAGGGTTGGTAAGAGACTTGGCTCTAGAGGGGATCCCAGGTGTCCATGAGGACGTCTCCAGCTAGGTCCTTGGGCAACAGAGGTGAGGGTGCCTGAACTGGCCTTGCCCCACTATCACACTGATGACTATCTCGAATATCACCATAGAATCTTCGTCCAGCAACGGATGGAGATAGAGACAGAGACCCTCATCAGAGCAACGGACTGAGCTCCCAAGGTCCAGTTGAAGAGCAGAAGGAGGGAGAATATGAGCAAGGAAGTCTGGACCGCGTGAGACAGTGTGCCTGTTCTAATGGGAGCTCACCAAATCCAGCTGAACCGGGACTGAATGAGCATGTGATCAAACTGGACTCTCTGAATGTGGCTGAAAATGTTGGCTGACTGAGAAGCCATTGGTAAAGGCGTTGCGATTTCTTTCTACTGCATGTACTGGCTTTTTGGGACCCTAGTCT